AAGGTGAAAATGAATGGGGTATTAACAATCTCATCTCTTGACAGGCTTCTGGAGTATGCTTCTTTGGTTTATTTTCAAATAAAGCTGTGATGTAAACATTTTTCTGCTCCTCATATTTTAAAGATTGAGACTCCACTTACCTTTGGACAGGGGATCGGGCAGTGGATTGTCCTGTATACTATGTGGCCCATGGGACGGAAGAAAGTGAAAACCTGGGGACTCAAGGTAGTTTGGGAGGGAATCTGAGGGCAGGCCTCTCACACAACTCTGATGCCACCATGTGATTTTCCCCGGCCCCCTGTACCTACACAGTGCCTACGGACCTGGCCATGCCATTCCAGATCATCCCCAGCGCCAGGAATCCAGCCTGGAATCCTGTCCTTCTAGAAATTCCTAATCCAGTCTCACAAAACTCACAGGTCTCAGGTGTTCTGAGTCTAGTATCTGTAGCCACTGTTACCTAAAGCAGGTCAGCTCCACCAGGGAACTAGAGGTGCCATTCCATGGGCCTCACTGGAGACCTACAGAATCATAACTTTTCAGATAGGGCCCTGATTCCCAAGGGTTCTCATGTGAATTAAAGCTTCAGAAGAAATGCTTAGCTACATGGTCTCCTTCCATTAGATCACTTGATGAGTTGTAAGAAATAGCATTACTGTGCCCTCCCCCACAGAGTTGGACAGCTGGTTTGGCTGAAACTTTTTTTTTTAAGGAATAAAACACTTTTAATTTATTTGTCATTAAATAAGATTTTAAAAGTGACAATTTAAAGAGCGACTAAGAAGAGTCCCACATCCATCATGGGCTCATGGTTCTAGTATCAGAAACAGAACAGAAAAAGCACGGAGAATACGGAAAACAAGTGTGTGTGTAGATGGCTGTGTTACACTACTGCACCTGCTTCAAGTTGCAGCTTGAATAGCACCTTGACCAGGTGCAGGCCCTGCCAGGCACAGACCCCCCCATACCTCCCCACCCCAGCACAGGCCCTACCAGGCACAGTCTCTAGGCGTGTGCACTGCTGCCCAGGGCCTCCTGGAAACTGTCAGAGGTGCCTTTGAAGGCTCTCTCCCACAGCCCTGGTGAAAGTGGCCTTTCACTCCCACAGTGCCCTTTGAGGGAGGGGGGGAGTAGGGAGTGGTTTCAAAACTGTTGTTTTAGTGTGGAATTGACAAGGGTCACAATAACAGGCCAGAGGTCGCAAACATCCCTGTCCACCTCCACTGAGGGTCCAGCCTCACCTGACCTTTCCTCAACCCAGACAACCACCCAGGCCGTGTCCTCATAGAGGCGAGGGAGCCGGGTCCCACACCAGCCCTGACCTGCCATGGCCCAGCCCAGGTTCCTTCCTCCAACCAGGTGTCTGGGAACCCTTCCAGCTGAGTGCCAGCCCAGCTTGCACCTGCACCCCAGTAGGCTCCCTTGGTCTCTTCCTGTTTGGGGGCCGTTTTGGTCCAGATGGCCACAGGAGAGAAGTCCTCCGCAGGCCCAGCCGGCGCTGGAGAACAGCAGTCGGGCAGTTGCCACTCACCCCTCACTCCTGGAGGTGCAGGCCTCAGTCTGGGCCTATGTTCTGTGATAGGCCTTCAGTGGGGTCTCCAGCCCCCTGCAGCCCCCTGCTCCCCAGTCAGGAGGCCATCAGGAGAGCAGAGCCCCTGCCTGGTCCCAGGGGGCAACTGTGCAGGATTTGCTGAGCTCCTCTGGGCACAGAGCAGCGTCCATGCCCGTGAGGCCTCCAGACAGGTGTGGGCGAGGCCAGCTGCCTCCCTGCCACCATGTCGTCAGACTGCCTCTGTTTCCCCTTCCTTCCCTTCATCCGATAGTAGGAGCCCCTGAAGAGCCGGATGTGGGGGGTGGGAGTGGGGGACAGATTCCATTCTCTCAAGACAGACCTAGGGCAGAAGTCGAAGGTGCACACTCCAAAGGGGTCTCCAGAAGACAGAAGGGAGGAGGGAGCCTGGCGGGAAGGGACCGCTGGGTCCAATGCTCTGACACAGTCTGTGTCCCTTCACGGGGGAAGCTGAGCGGCCCTCGGCATGCAGCCCTGGCCTGGCCCCAGGTGTGCGGTGTGGGCAGCAGGGCCCACCCCATGTCCCTGGGTCCACGCTGTGGGCTTCCTCTCTGGACAGGTGACTTCAGAGTTTACCGAGAGGCCCTTGGACAGGTGAGCCTTTGAAAGAATCTGCACTCTTCTGCTGACTCCTCCAGCTGCCCAGTGAGTGTGTGGCTGGCGGGTGCTGAGTGGGCAGGAGCGGCGCTCCCAGGGGCCTGAGGCTAGACTCAGACACAGCTCCGCGCTCATCCCACGCAGGGGAGAGGGCAGATCAGAGCGTGAGGGGCAGGGAGACGGAGCCCCGCTCCTCAGGGCGCGCTCCCACAGCCCTTCATCCGATGCTACCCCACTGTCCCCTCAGTCACTCTGGGCTCGACTGCAGGAGAAAGCAGTGAGCCGGCACTCCTCTCTGTACACCCAAACCACCGTGTCTTTAAGACGCCAGAGAAAGGACCCCTGTGAGCGCCCCCCAGCGTCACAGGGTGTGCAGGACTCTGCGTCTAGGGGAGCTTCGCGGGGATGGTCAGACAGCCAAGGGAGAGCTGCAGAGGAAACAGTGACAGGATCTGATGGAGTTACAAGGGAACCCAAATGGAGATGACTGAGACACACAGCGCGGGTCCAGCAGGCTGCCAGATTGGACAGTGCAGTGAGGAGGAGGAGGAAAGCGACTCGGAACTGGAGGAAGGAGGATGACCAGGGCCGCCCCAGGCCCAGGCCTGCATTCCTGCCCGCCCTGCCCGCGGCCCAGCCCAAGGGAGGTGTGCAGGTTCCACACAGGCATCTGAGCACGTCATCAGCAGGCGCACAGTGGGTGCTTCCTGTCACCTCCCAGTCGGATTCACCGCCAAAGGACCGGTCCACGACCCAGCCACTGAGTGCCTGCTGCTCAGTGCCAGGCTGCTCAGTGCCACAGCTGCTCAGTGCCAGGCTGCCCAGTGCCAGGCTGCTCAGTGCCTGCTGCTCAGTGCCACGGCTGTTCAATGCCACGACTGCTCAGTGCCACGGCTGCTCAGTGCCACGGCTGCTCAGTGCCAGGCTGCTCAGTGCCACGGCTGCTCAGTGCCAGGCTGCTCAGTGCCAGGCTGCGCCGCACCTGTGTTTTGCTGAACGTCCTCGGCGGAGTGTCCTTGTGAGCCCTGGGGGGACGGCGTGCTTCTCGCTCCATCCCATGCTTATCCACCCCACGCTTAACCGTTCAAAACTAAGGAAGGACAATTAGTGTCAATGGGTTAACACTTGGGTTGCGGGAAACGAGTTAAGTCGGCTCGCGTGAATTGCTCGTACTCCGCGGGAGCCGTCTTAAACTCGGTTCATATAGATTTGCGGTGGAGTGCGGGAAACGTGTAAACTCGGGCCGATTGTAACTGCGTATTACCAAATATTTCATTTCAATCGAACCCATACTTCAAAAGATATAGGCATTTTAACGCGCCATCTTATATTTTGGCGGGAAATTCACCCGCAACCCAAGTTTAAAACAAGTGCCGTTTGAGCATTTCAAAAAGACCCGAACACCTAGGATTCAGCAAACGGGGAGTAACTAAAAGAAATAAACCAGCTGCCAGGGTGACGTGTTCATGAGTAGACACGAAGGAAACCCCTTTCCCAAAGGGCACCCCAGGTCCGAGAGCCTGCCGGCCCGCACGCGCCAGCTGTGGGCCTGGGTTAGATTAGGGAGGCAGGGTGTGAACGCTGGGCTGGGGAGGACGGAAGACTGGAAGATCGTTTTCTCCCCTGGAGACCAGCCTGATCGGAACAAACTGAGGACAAAGCAGGCGGGACCTTCCCATCCTTGGGAGCAAACCTGCTCCCCGCAGGAAGGGGCGGGGCAGCGACACAGTCCTGCCGCACAGGACCCCCAAGTCACTGCCCATCAGAGCCCTTTACTGGTACTGCCTCCGAATGAGCCAGAGGTGGAGCCCCGACTGGAGGGCAGTGAGCTGCCGCTGGGGGCCTGCAAGGCGTGGGGCTCAAGCGGCTAACTGGCCGGGCTGGTGTCCCCTGTCCCCGGCTCCTCGCTGTTTGCCTCCTCCAGGCTGCTCTGCTGCCCCGACACTCGAAGTGGACACAGTGGAACACCTCATTTCCTGTGTTGTGTGTTCCAACCATTTCGATGAAGGAGGCAGGCTGTCTTTCAAAAGTGACCGGCTGCCCTGACTTGCAGGAGACTTCAGTTCTGTCGGCCACCATGGTCCACTGCGACGGTGGTGGAAACCTTAATGTAGTAGCTGTAGCTTCCATCATCACATCCCAAAGTAACAGCCGTATTGACCCAGTCATGTACGGCTGTGCCAGCTGAACCACAGGGGCCCCGCTTCCTAGCTGATGGCATGTGTAGCCAGAATCCCAGTCATATTTCTTGCTGTCCCCGTTCAGCAAGGCATTTCGGCTCCGACTGACTCCTTCAGTCACACTGGCACAATCAGCAATCGTTGCGACATTCTCCCTGGGAACTATCAGGCCCTTCTCAAGAGTGAAGGTTTGGTTTGTAAACATACATTCAAAAGCCACAACGTGAGAAATCTTGTTCACTGTGTTGTGAGTCCCAACTATTCGGATATATCCGTGGCTGAAGTGCAGGTGGAGGTGCGGACTTGTGGAGTCTGGGAGAGGCTGGGGAGCGGAGCAGGTCGGGGAGAGGTGGCCGGGAGTCTGGCCAAACATCATTTTTTTAATGTTGTGCTCCAGGTGATTCAAAATTGAGGCCAATGTTTAGCGGAAGGGCTCTCTGCCCCAGTTTATTTGTGAAGAGCTGGCTTTGGTCCAGGGGAGGTAACTGGGTGCTCTGTTTGGTTTGAGAGGAGCAGAACAGTCCGCATTGTCATTGCAGTGTCAGAATTTGTGCATGTGTTGAAGGGTAGAGCGCAGGAAAGAAAGTAGAGAAAAAACTCAGTTTGGTCTTCATGTAGGATCTCATTGTTTCTGAATCTCTCCTGTGACAAAGGACAAGGGAGTGTGACATTTTTCATCATTTCAAGTTCCTTCTGCCTGTGAGTGTGGTGGAAGCAGAGGAAGAGGCTGTGCTTAGGCCTTTGAAAGCATATCCTCAAGACGCAGATGTGATTCCGCAACATAAGACGCCTGAGGAAACCACCCAGAGCAGGAGGAGGAAGAGGACAACATGGCTGCTTCTCAGGTAAATGCCCTGTCTTGGGTCAGTTCTGTGTTTGCATTTCTTTCTAAAGTTCTTGGGTTTAGAAGCTGCAAACCTTTACTTCTCTACTTTGATGGTCCTTCCTAGTGAGGTGGTTTTCAAGTACTTACTTAGTTTTTCTTATGATTGTCTGTTACCTCTTTAAAATGCTACTGGCATTTGAAATTTTTCGGTTTCCCAAGATATAAATCAAGAGGAACCTTCAGAGAAACTTCTGGGTAAATTTTATTAGGCTTATGCTGAGCATAAAGAACAACACACCGAAGACTGGAAGGTCCTCTGAACCAACTCAAGGGTGGCTCTGATTGGCTGCTTTAATAAGCTTGGGACAAAGTGCGCCTTTTGAAAAAGGCCTGTTGGTGGAAATTTCCGTTTCAGGGTGGAGTGATTTCCTTTTACAACTGGGTTGCCTGGTTGTTAGCGCCTGTGCTGTGGGGGAAATAATGATGGTGTAGTTCATTGGAGCCACCCCAGGAAGGTCCTTCAACTGCTCATGTGCATCAGCAGTTTCGACATCTATAACGATGCAGGCCTTTAGGAAGGAGATATTGTCAGCTACCTCTGGGATTTTGAATGGGGGTTGAGGTGTGGTGACATTTCTATACTGTCTCAAGAATATTTTTCTCTTATTTACTTATTTAAATTGTTATTTTTAAAAAATATATTTTTATTGATTTCAGAGAGAAAGGGAGAGGGGGAGAGAGAGAGAGATAGAAACATCAATAATGAGATAAATCATTGGCTATCTCCTGCACGCCCCCTACTGGTGATTGAGCCCGCAACCCGGGCATGTGCCTTTGACTGGAATCGAACCCAGGACCCTTCAGTCCACAGGCTGACGCTCTATTCATTGAGCCAAACCAGCCAGGGCTATTTTTCTCTTTTTTAAAAAATATATTTTTATTGATTTCAGAGAAGGAGAGAAACATCAATGATGAGTGAGAATCATTGATTGGCTGCCTACTGCATGCCCAACACTGAGGATTGAGCCCACAACCGAGGCATGTGCCCTGACTGGGAATCGAACTATGATCTCCTGGCTCATAGGCTGAAGTTCAAATCTGCATTTGTTTCCATCTCCACTTGATTGTTGTACATATTAAAATTTTAGAAGTACTGTTTAGTTTTCACTGAGAATGAATTCTCAACCTAAGAAATATATATACTTGATCCTCTATGATTCAAATATAGCACTCAAAAATGGATATGCCTGTGTTGGTGCCTTTATTTTTAAAATTTATCTTCCAGAAAAGTAAAGCTTCTACAGTGGTTTTGTGGATCATATGTCATCCTCCTTTCTCAAAATACTTGAGAGAATGTTAGTGTCAAAATGATCTTATTGGATAATTCAGGATACTTTTAGGTCAAAACTGGTTCCATTAACTCTGTTTTCATATTGGGTCACATGATGAGCTCTACCCATGGCCACTTGAGTAATTTTTTTTTTTTAAATTTCAGGGACAGTTGACCTTCAGTGATGTGGCCATAGAATTCTCTCAGGAGGAGTGGGCGTGCCTGGACCCAGCTCAGCGGAAACTGTACATGGACGTGATGTTGCAGAACTACAGGAACCTGGTATTCCTGGGTGAGGACCACTTCCTTCCAGAATTTCTCCTCCACCCGCAGGGTTTTGTTTTCTTCATTAGTACAGTGTCTGCTTGTAGCTTCTGCTTTTTATGATAGAATTTCAGATCTGTGTTCTCAAGGAAAGAAATTGGTGTTTTGCTATTGTACTTGCAAGTGGAAATCGGGATTGGAAAACTTTAAATGTAGTCTCTGGTATGGTAAAGGTGCTGTCAAAAAATAATATTTGGGGGGATAATTTTCTAGAATACTCTGGTATTCTACAATGTCCTATCCTGTCACTTCTTGAGCACAGGGACCAGATTGGAAATTGAAGAATCTCCATTAAAACTCATGTTCCTTTTGTCTCATAAACAGGTCTTACTGTGTCTAAGCCAGACCTCACTTTTTTGGAGCAAATGGAGGAGACCTGGGAGTTGGAGGAAGAAAAGACTGTAGTCATCCACCCAGGTAGGTGGGAATGAAGGAAGCAGCTGACCCAGGTGGGAGGCCAAAGGTCAGAGGAAATCAGACCTTAAACTATGGTCTGGAAAGATCTGTTGTAAGGGAAATGATTTTTTAGAGGATGAGGTTTATTTCTGTTTCTGTGTTAGAGGGACAGATCTTCTCCAACACTTAGATGACTGTCATCTAAGGATTCTCCTTCTGCTCCTTGATCTTCCATCACATTTGCAGTCCGCTTCAAGCAGAATAATTTCCTTGTAAAGTATTCTTTATTTCAATTAGTGTGAGGGTGGTATGACCTGACTGCTTTTGCATTTTGTTGGGGAATGTGGGAAACTTTGTGAATCTTGCTGAGGAATTCTATGTTAAACCAGTTTTTAAGTCTGTTTTCTGCCTCATGTAAGTAGTTTGTGAGAGAAGTGGTTGAGATACTAGAATTTGGTTCCCACATCCCAGGAACACTGGGAATAGGTGTCCAAGTTGTCTTATTCTTCCTTCTTCATGATCAAGTCTGTTGCTGATGTTTCTATTTAAATTCAGATACTGTATTCTTCAGTTCCCAATCTCTGTTTGGTTCTCTTTTATATTTTTAGATGCATTTTTAGTTTTGTCATGCATAGGTTTGGTGGTAATACTTAGTTTTCTATGTTTTTTGCTCTATTTTCCAATTGAGCCCCTTTAAGATGGTTATTTTGAATTCTTTGTCAGGTAATTAATAGATCTTCATTAACATAGGGCTGACTTATGGAGACTTACTTTGTTCCTCTGGTTGGACTATGTTTTTCTGTTTCTTTGTATGCCTTGTGATCTTTTGTTGCTATTTAAGGTCATGAGAAGCAGATGCCATCCATTTCTTTATGAACTTGCTTGGTATAGGAGAACACAAAGAACAATGAGTTGTGGTAGATTTTTAATGGCCTGTCAAACCTATTCTGGAAAATGTAATCAGTGTGTGTGTGTGTGTGTGTGTGTGTGTGTGTGTGTGTGATTTTTTCAAATACAGGTGGCATACTGCATATTAGTTTCAGGTGTCCACCCCAGTGTTTATATAACTTAAGTGATCATCCTAATAAATGCCATACCCATCTGACAACATGCATAATTATTAGAATATTATTGACTATATTCCATGTGCTACACTTTATATCCCCATGACTATTCTATTACTACCAATTTGTACTTCTTAATTCCTTTATTTTTATCATCCAATCCCAAACCAGCTTCCCTACTTTCAACCATCACAATGTTATCTGTATGTATGAGTCTCTTTCTGTTCTGCTTTCTTGTTTATTTTGGCATCCACATGATGTGAATGTTGATATACTTGAAGTTGTCCCAGAGGTACCTTATACTATCATAATTTTTTTGGATGCTTTTTTCTTTATGCTGTTTTGATTGGATGTTTTTTGCTTCCTTATATTCCAAATCGCTGTTTTGATTATTGGTTTCATCTTCTGTACTATTGATTTCCTTGTAAATTTTTCTTCATTTTAATTAGTATGTGCTTCATTTCTTTTTTCTTATTTTTTAAAATATATATTTTATTGATTTTTTACAGATAGGAAGGGAGAGGGATAGAGAGTTTGAAACATCGATGAGAGAGAAACATCGATCAGCTGCCTCTTGCACACCCCCTCCTGGGGTTGTGCCCGCAACCAAGGTACATGCCCTTGACCGGAATCGAACCCGGGACCCCTCAGTCCGCAGGCCGATGCTCTATCCACTGAGCCAAACCAGTTAGGGCTGTGCTTCATTTCTGAGTGGTTCTTTTTTTTTTGGTTTCCATGTTCTTTTTTTTTTTTTTTTTTTTAAAGCTTTGGAAGTTCTGTGTTCATCTACTCTTCCCCTAAGTTCATTGAGCATTCCCCTAAGTTTTGAACTCTGCATCTAGTAGATTGCTTGTTTCGGTTTTGTTTAATATTTTTCTGCAGTTTTGTTCTGTTCTTTCATTTTGGACATGTTTTGTCTCCTCATTTTGGAAAGATCTCTGTTTGTTTCCATGTATTAGGTTGAGCTGCTACATCTCTCAGGCTTGGAAGAGTGGCCTAATGTAGTAGATGTCTAGTAGCATCCAGTGGCATAGCCTCCTGTTTACCTGAGCTGAGCATTCCAGGTGCGCCCCACCGTATGGGCTATGTATACTCTCCTGTTGTAGTTGAGCCTTGATTGCTGTTGGAATTTCAATGGGAGGGATTTAGGCCAAGGCTCATCAGTTGAAAAAACTTGCTTTGACCATTGTGGAGGATTAGCTGTGCAGGGCTCACCTGGTGGAGCAGGACTGACTTCATTGTGGTCTGGTGCCTGCTGAGTCTGCCCCTTGAGCTTATTGCCTGTGGAGGTGGTTTGGTTGGTGCTTCGACCTGCTCTGAAGGTGTCCGCCAGGTGTGCTGGCTTGGGGCCTCCATGAAGTGCAGGGCAAAGTCAACCACAAACAGTGCCTGTGTTCTACCTGGGATCACCTGGCATGATCTACAAAGGGATCTGCATATGTCTGTTCATTATGCTGAGGTTGGACTTTCTAAGGCAGGACCAAGCTATGAACCAAGGCCAGCTGCCACTATTGCCGAGCCTGGGAACACTTCGCGAGAGGTATGGCACACACTGAAGCCAGATGCTGCTTGAGTGTATGCCAGTCTGTTTATATTGAAAAGCCAGTTAAAACAGCTTGGGTGGGCCTGCAAGTTGATGGTGTGGGGTCTCAGGAAATCTCCAGGGTGGGACAAGCAGTGTGAGCCAGGTAGATGGAGTTTTAGATATGGCACCTGCCTACTTGCTCTGTGGGGAAAGGACTCAGAAAAGGAACAGTGGCTTCTACCAAAACTTCTGTCTGGGAGAAAGCTTCTTCAGCTCTCATCTTAATGCCAGAGACTTCAGTTCCTCCCTGTATATCCCTGGCTGATTTCGAATTGCTTCTTCAGCACTGGGACTCAGAGGGAGTGAGTCTGAGTATGTCCATTTGCGGGCCCTTTAAGAGGAACTGCCTTGGATGCCAGCAGCTATCCTTCATACTCAGCCACAATCCCCACTGGTTTTATAGCCAGAATTAATGGGGACATCTATTCCCAACCCTGGAAACCTGGGCTGGTGGGCCTAGTATGGGGCTGGGTCCCCTAGCTCCTCAGAGTTGACCTGTGCAGCTGAAATGTCCCTCACGATTTTTCTCTGCCCTGTGGGACCAGTCCATTTAACATCTTTGCACCTCCTATCAGTCTCAATGAGGCTTCTTCTTTGTAACCTTAATTGTAGGACTTCTGTTCAACTAGGTGTCAGGTGGTTCTGAATGATGGTTTTTCTGTAGTTCCATACTGGAGAGAAGCCTTAGTTGTATTTTTGACATGGTTGTGGGAGAATGCCGGTACCACCATCTTGACCTGAAGGTTGTATGTGTGTTTTATGTAATTTCGCAATTATATATAGAGCTCATGATGTCTTCCTATCCCTGATGGATGTCTTCAGCACTGTCGTCCCTCTAGTGCCTGAACACTTACTTTTTTTTTCTTCACAGCTGCCACAAATGCATTCACAGTGTATTGCCATTTCCTTAGCAATCTGTATCATTCAAAATAGAAACAAGTCTTTCAGGTCGCAAAAAACCAACAACAACAACAAAAGACCATGAGACTCACAGTACACTCATTTCTCTTCTGAGAAGAAACTAAGAATTTGGAGTCATTTTGTAGTGTGCCAGGGAGGGTGAGCAAGTGTAAGCAACTTTTCTTCTCTCTTTGATATGATATTTTTGTTTTGTGCTTTCTGGGGGCTGGAGTGGTCTTGAGCTGGCTTCTGAAGTACTCTAGAAGGCAAGTGGTTCAGTAATTATTGGTACCTTAACGTCTCCATAGAGGAAGAATGTTTTGCTGCTTCCTATTCTGCCATCTGAAATCTTTTCTGTACATTAGAATTTAAAGAATATTTACCTGAGTGTAGTGTTTGATAATTAATTTGGTATATTTCAGCTATGTCTTCTCAAGCCACCCAGGACTTGTTGCCAAAGTCAGGCATAGAAGATTCATTCCACGAAATGTTCCAGGTAAGATACCGAAGGTGTGGCATTGGGAATTTACACTTAATGAAAGTTTTGTAATGGGCAGGGGAATATGAAGAGAAAAAAGGATGTTATGAGGGATATAAGTAAATGGAGCAATTACCCATATGAAAATCTTGTTGGCAAAAGACTTTTTAGATATAAAACATATTAAAATTTTCTACTTTAAGTCACTTATATTGGCACAACAATGTGTTTCTGAACGTAAAGTCCAAAGATATTTTTTAAAAAGTACATATTTGTACATATTCTCTGAAATTAAATTTGTAATATCAGAGAAGTAAGCTAGTCTACTGTGCAGATAACCCATTGGATGATTTAATGTAGGGTTTGATTACGTAAAATATTTCTAAAAAATCAGATTGAAAAAATGAAGATAGAAATTATAAGTATGAATTTGTAAATCCTTAACCAAGTTTGCATTATTCTTTCACAGATACATATTCTTTCTTATTCCAGAGTCTTTAATTTTTATGAGTCTATTAGGGTTTATATTCAACCATCATGGTTCAGTAGATAGCAGAGTAGGTAACTGGAAACAGCTTTGCATGTGCAATGTTAAATGCCATCACTAAAGGCCTTTCTGTCTTCAATGATTACCAGAGTATGCATAATGAAGAGAGAAGTCTCCAGTGCGATGAATCTTGGAAAAACATTAAACAAGAGTCAAATTCTGATAACCATCAGACAACTCAGCTTCCACAGGGAAATGATAAGTGTCCGAATGTCTTTGATAAAAGCTCAAATATTGTGATACCTCAGGATATTCGTAGTGTAGAGATGACAGACAAATGTAACGAGTATGCCAACTCTTTCGATCAGTCGTTAAATCTTACTGAACTTAAAAATACTGATATTGGGGAGGCGCCTTTCAGGTGTAATCAGTGTGTGAGAGTCCTTAGTCAATTATCCAATGTATATATGCATAAGAAAATCCGTGCTAGAGAGAAGCCTTACAAATGTAAAGAATGTGATAAAGTTTTTAAGTTGCATTCCCATGTTATTGAACAGCAGACACTTCCTACTGGAGAGAAGCTTTATAAATGCAGAGATTGTGGCAAAACCTTTAACAAGTGCTTAAAACTTAATGAATATCAGAGGCTGCATCCTGGAGAGAAGCCTTATAAATGTAGAGAATGTGGCAAAGCCTACAAGTGGTATTCGAGCCTTACCAGTCATCAGAGAATTCATTCTGGAGAGAAGCCTTATAAATGTAGAGTATGTGGCAAAACCTTTAACGTGTTTTCAAGCCTGATTCGACATCAGAGTATTCATACTGGAGATAAGCCTTATAAATGTAGAGAATGTGGCAAAGCCTTTAACTGGTATTCAAGCCTTACTCGACATCAGAAAATTCATACTGGAGAGAAACCTTATGAATGTAAAGAATGTGGCAAAGCCTTTAACCGGTGTTCAGACCTGACTACTCATCAGAGACTTCATACTGGAGAGAAGCCTTATAAATGTGGAGAATGTGACAAAGCCTTTATCCGGAGTTCAAGCCTTACCCTTCATCAGAGAATTCATACTGGAGAGAAGCCTTATAAATGTAGAGAATGTGGCAAAGCCTTTACCAGGTGCTCAAAACTTACTGAACATCAGAGAATTCATTCTGTAGGGAGGCCTTATAAGTGTAGAGAATGTGGCAGAACTTTTAATGATTGTACAAGGCTTATGAAACATGAGAGAAACCATACTAGAGATAAGGCTTATACATGTGAAGAATGTGGCAAATCCTTTAACTGGTATTCAAGCCTGACTCGACATCAGAGAACTCACACGGGGGAGAAGCCTTATAAATGCAGAGAATGTGACAAAGCCTTTTACCGGTGTTCAGACCTAACCAACCATCATAGAATTCATACTGGAGAGAAGCCTTATAAATGTGGAGAATGTGGCAAAGCCTTTAACTGGTATTCCAGCTTTACTCAACATCAGAGAATTCATCTGGAAAGAAGTTTTATAAATGTAGAGAATGTGCCAAGGCCTTTACCCAGTGCTCAGAACTTACTTAACTTCAGAGATTTCACACTGGAGGAAGGCCTTATAAATGTAGAGAATGTAGCAGACCCTTTAAGCACTGTTCAACTCTTACCAGATATCAGAGGTCTCTTACTAGAGAGAAACCTTATAAATGTTGAGAATGTGGCAGATCCTTTACCCTCTGCTTTAACCTTACCAAACATATGAGAATGCATACCTGAGAAAAGCTTTACAAATGTAAAGAGTGTGACAAAGCCTTTAACCTCTGCTATAGCTTTACTCAGTATTGGGGAATCCAAACTGGATAGAAGCAATGCAAATGTAAATAATGTGGGAAAACCTTTAGCTGTTGCCCAAATCTCACTAAGTATATAGAATTCAGACCAGAGGGAAGTGTAGAGAACGTGGAAAAGCCTTTCCCCCAGTGTTGGAACCTTAGTCCATATCACATAAATCATGCCAGACTGAAACAATACAAATAAAAAGAATGTGGCAAAATCTTTAACCATTAAACAAACCTCACTGAACTTCAGAGAGTTCATAGTGGAGAGAAATCATGCAAATGTCAAAAATGCAGCAATGCCTGTATTTAGCATTTATATTAATTGATAAATGAGAATTTATACTGGAGAGAAACTTAAAAATTTAAAGAATATGGCAAACCCTTTTGCAGGACCTACAGCCTTTCTCAATATCAGAGAATGCATACTGGAGATAAATTCTATATTTGTTATAAATGAAGAAAGATTTTTGTCCAAAATACACACTTCAGAAAACCCCACAGAATTTACCCTTTAAAGTGACTTTAAAGATCTAGAAAATCTAGCAAAGTAGCTAATCAAAATTAAATCTAAAATATTAGAAAATTCACAGTAGAAAGTAATGTCAACACTTTCAAATATGAGTAAATCCGAATACTTATTTTAGAGAACCCAGTAAATAAAGTTATGTGGCTTTTTAGTAGGAATCAATATACCAAGGGTATGGATGTTTGAATAGATGTAATTGCTTACACTGTATCCTTTTTTAAAAGTTATTATTATGACAGTATTTGTGATTTTTTTGAAACAAAAGTATTATTGGCTTAAAATCTTAATTCATTTCATAATTCTATAAATGATTGTAATGTGTATTTTGACTAGTGGTAATATAGTGGGTTTGTAATGCTATGTTTAGACTATGTGTGGACTTAATATATTCTCATTGATAAAATGAATGAACATAAGTGTATTAATAGTGATGTGTAATGAATGAGGTGTTAACATGCCTTGAATGTTAATGTTTCCCACCTCATTCACCGTTGTGGGTAACAATTTGTAATGCACTGGAATGATATTGCTAGAAGTCCTTTACCCAGGGACCTTTAACCTTATATAGTACCTACAGGGACATTATGATGGTTGCAGTAAAGATCTAGTGGAAGTATTTGTAAGAGTTTAGCTAAAATACTTTATAATGTTTCTGCATTGGCATTTGTCTTGTGTAGCTAAGGAGCCTTGACTTGAACTCCATTCTCCCTCCAGTGCACACATTAGACACCAACTTACAGTGTCACAATTAAATGTGTAAGGTTTTGATATGACTTCTCAAGAAGCCCTTGAGCACTATAGAGTGTTGTGTACCTCAGGGTCTTTATTTTGTATGCCGTATATATAAGATTGCTGAAGAGTTTACCAAAACCTTGCTGATTTTCCTTTGAATATAACAATCCGGACCTCAATTGAGAACCCCAGGGCACTCCACATGGTGTTCCTAACAAAGGCATGCACTCTGGGTCCTGCCTCCCTCTGCCTGCATCCTGTCTTGGCGTCCCTGTGTAGCCCCCTGCAGGCGTATTGTGTATTTCCTCCAGGCCTATGAGTTATAAACTGGTTTTTGCCAGTTTACCTTGGGGTCTTCTGAGTTACTGCTGGTTACCATTCAGTACCAGTGAGCTTTGCTTAACAAATGCTAATTTAACAAACCTAAAAAAGTATGATTAGAAGCCCTATTTTTGGAATTCTGCATCATGGTTACATTTTAGCCTATATATATTTTTCACACTTCCTTTTTCTGAGCCTCTATAACAGATTTGCATGGTTTTGATATGTACTGCATGTAATATGTAAGTATAGTAACAAAGATGTGATTTAGGAGTAAGAGGATTAATGAGGAAGAAGTGGGTGTGTATGTGTGTACACATATCTTTAGAAAAAAAGGATCTAAATTAGTAATTTAAAAATATTTGTTGATTTACTAGCAAGCTAGAGATCTTACAGGTTTATAATGTGAATCATCTTCTATACATTACAGTGAATTTCTCCCAAATCTGATGATTCTTGGTCTGAGAATCTCCCACTGCAGTTCTGTCTGTTTACATTTCTGTGTCTCATGTAAGATCTAACGTATGTTTTCCTTGTTCCATAGTGGATGAAATGTTGCTTATATGTCGTGCTTGGAGATTTTAAGTATGGCTTTCATTGAATTCAATGGTGTACAGAAATATCCTGAAAATGGTAATAATTGGATAATGAGCAAATGAAGTCGTAGTTTGTTTAATACACATTATTTCATTCTTTCTATTAAAGAGAAACTATGTAAGTGGACATTCCTTTGGTTATTGTTTTTTACTTATTATGTCACCAAAGTTATTCACTCTTTTCTGCCAGTTTTTTTTAAAATACATATATATATATATATGTATTATTGATTTTTTACAGAGAGGAAGGGAGAGGGATAGAGAGTTTGAAACATCGATGAGAGAGAAACATCGATCAGCTGCCTCTTGCACACCCCCTCCTGGGGTTGTGCCCGCAACCAAGGTACATGCCCTTGACCGGAATCGAACCTGGGACCCTTCAGTCCGCAGGCCGACGCTCTATCCACTGAGCCAAACCGGTTAGGGCCTTCCAGTTTGTTTAGTTGAAAACTTGGTAATGTCCCAAATCATGGTATTGTTTTGATAGTTATATGAAGGGAATAAGCACTTAGGACACTACTTGGTGTGTAAAGATACTCCATAATTAGGAGGAAAATATTCCAGTGGGAGTGATGTAGTTTTAAGTAAATGGAAAATATTCAGTATGAAAAATTGATATGAATTAAACATGTGGAGGGGATACCTGTTTCCAGGCTGCAAAACTGACTCTAAAATTATTAAAATAAATTGTGTTTCTTTCATTTCTTAATTATCTCCAGTTCCTTTATTTCCTTTTATTCTCAGTTACATGGACATCAGAGCCATTGTCCTTTGAAGTGCTATGGCTATACCATCTCAATACTCTCCCCATCCCACATCGTCCTTGCTGAGCATTGTAGGTACTGATCAGTAGTTTAGAATTTATATAGTGGTGTGAGAAGCATCAGAATGTGTTGAAAAATTTGGATTATATGTTTTATGAAAAAGAGAGCTCACAACTCACAATTTCATGATGAAACCTTTCTTTCTGAATGTGAATACTGAATACGGGAAAACATCAGAGTAGCATGTGTGTATTTGAAAATGGGAATGATCTTCCTGGTTTCAATATTTGTTAGAATCCTGAAGAATTTTTATTTACTGAAACATCATTATCATCTCCTTTACTGCAGTGGAACCCAGACAAATTCATCTGAATATAGCCAACCGTTGATCATTCTTTTTAAAAAAATATATGATTTTATTGATTTTTAGAGAGGGAGAGAGAGAGAGAGACAGAAATGAAAGAGAAATATTGATCAGCTGCTCCTTCACACCCTACACTGGGGATCGAGCCCACAACCTGGGCATGCTCCCTGACCAGATATCGAACCCGTGATATGCTCAACCAACTGAGCCATACTAACTGGGCTGTTGATCATTCTTTCTAAGCATTCCAGAAACCATGGTAGCTTTTGATTTGAAATATTTTCTTCATGATTTTGGGTGCAAACTTATTATGTATGTTCATAGCATGGCCATAATTGTGTCTGTTTGCACATATGCCCATTGAGTATCTTCCAGTCCACCACCATGGGCCCAGGATTTCTAGCTGGGCAGAGCTTATAGTAAAAACCCAGTATCCTGTACTGGATCTTGCACGTGCTGGTTAATATGAGAGTTTATGTGCATATGTTGGCTCAGAAGAACAACACAAATATCACATAAAGTATAGATACTGGATATTGTCCTGTACTTCCTGACAGGCTATATGCTTACTGTATGCAGCATTCATGTCTACTACTGAAGTTTTGTGTTGAGAACTTACTATCTGGGGAGTTGTTCCACCATTTTTATTCTGTATAGCCCAAAGCACAGGGCTGAACACATTCATAGGAACAGTATCTTAGCTAGATGGGTGTTGCTCTGTTTTCTGGTATAAAGGTGAATTCTGAGGAGGTCTAGTAATACAAATGACAGATAAAATCAATTTTTTCTATTCAGCTAGTCATTGCAAAAACAATGAAGCATTCATGGTGCTTACTGTGCAGGAACTTACAGTCTAGAGCAAATGACTAAATGGTTGAATTCAGGATGTGGGGTCAGTGCCAGGAAGAGGTGGTCCCCTGGAGTCTGGCTTATTTTTGGTCAATTTCCTTTTCCTATTATGGGAGATCTGATGTCACTTTTTGAAAGGCTATCAACAGGAAGAAGAGGTGTGTTTATTTTTAGTAGTAGTATTCATATTTCTATTTCTTTTATATAGTTAAATACAAAATAGTTTCAAATACAATAGTCTCAAAAACCCCTGTGTATTCATGAAATTGTATGTTATGCTTTAAAATACACTATTAGTGCCACACTGGCATGGCTCAGTGGTTGTGCATCGACCTAAGAACCCAAAAGTTCACGGTTCGATTTCTGGTCTGGGCACATGCCTGGGTTGTGGGCTTGATCCCCAGTGTGGGGTGTGTAGAAGGCAGCCAATCAATGATTCTCTCTCATCAATGATGTTTCTGTCTCTCTCTCCCTCTTCCTTTCTCTCTGAAATCAATAAAAAAAATTTTAAAAATGTTAATACACTATTAGGTTGAACAGAATAAAATAATACAAACCATAAAAGTTAAGTTTTTTGTGTGCAGGCCTAGGAAAGCCAAAGCTGAAAATAAGAAGCAAGAAGGGAAGTGGAGGACCCACTGTCTGCCTCACAGGTGCCCATAGCCATCCCTTCTGGGTTTTGTCCAGGTCCACAGGCATGTGGGAAGAGAAACTAAAAAAATCAATCCCATTTACCATTGCAAAAAATAAATAAATAAATAAATAAATAAATAAATAAATAAATAAATAAAGTATCTAGGAATGATCTTAACCAAGGAGTTAAAAAGCCTCTACTTGGAAAACTATAGGACATTGGAAAAAGAAATTGAGGAAGATACAAACAAGTGGAAGCATATACTGTTTCATGGATTTTAAGAGTTAACATCATTAAAATGTCCATACTACCCAAAAGTAATTCCTAGATTCAACATAATATGTATTAAAATACAAATGGCAGAGTTCACAGAACTGGAACAAATTCCAAAAATTCATAGCATATGGAACCAAAGAAGACTCCATATAGCCTTAGCTATCTTGAGAAAATAGAACACAGTTAGAGGGATCACCACATGGGATATCGAACTATACTACAAAGCCATTGTCATAAAAAAGCCTGGTACTGGCAGAAGAACAGGCATATACAGTAATGAAAAAGAACAGACACCCCAAAAAATAACCACACCATATAGTTAATTTGACTAATGGGGTGAGAGCATACAGGGAGTAGAGACAGTCTCTTCAATAAATGGTTTTGGGAAAATTGGGTGGTACATGCAAAAAAATGCAATGACCATCAAATTATATCATACACAAGAATAAACTGAAAATGAATAAAATATTTTAATGTAAGCCACACAACCAGAAAAGTCCTAAAAGAGAACAGAGGCCATAATATCTCAGACCTCTCACCAAGCAGTATTTTTTTTTAAATGTATTTTATTGATTTTTTTTTACAGAGAGGAAGGGAGAGAGATAGAGAGTTAGAAACATCGATGAGAGAGAAACATCGATCAGCTGCCTCCTGCACACCTCCCACTGGGGATGTGCCCGCAACCCAGGTACATGCCCCCGACCGGAATCGAACCCGGGACCCTTCAGTCCGCAGGCAGACGCTCTATCCACTGAGCCAAACCAGTTCTGGCACCAAGCAGTATTTTTGCTGATACATCTCTTAGGTTAGGGAAACAAAGGAAAAATATATGAATGGGACTATATCAAACTAAAAAGCTTCTGCACAGCAAAATAAACCATTAGTGTGTGAAAAGGGAACCCACTGTAGGGGAGAGCATATTCTTCAATGATACATCTGGAAAGGGGTTAATTTCCAAAACATATAAAGAACTTACACAACTCAACACCATGAAGACAACCCAAATAAAAATTTGAGCAAAGGTCCTGGATAGACACTTCTTCAAAGAGAACATGCAGATGACCAATGGACATAGGAAAAAAATGATTAACATCAGTAATCTTCAGAGAAATGCAAATTAAAACAACAATTAGGTATCACCTCTCACCTGCCAGAATTGCTATGCAACAATAAATCAACAAACAAGTGCTGATGAGGATGTGGAGAAAAAGGAAACCTAGTTCACTGCTGGTGGGAATGCAGACTGGTGCAGCCACTGTGGAAAACAGTATGGAGTTTTCTTAAATAATTAAAAATGGAACTGCCTTATCACCCAGCCATCCCACTTATGGGAATATACCCTTAGAATCTTAAAACACCATCAGAAAGAATATTTGCACCTCTGTGTTCATAGCAGCATTATTTCCAATAGCTAAGATCTAGAAACAGCCCAAGTGCCCATCATTAGATGAGTGGGTAAAAAATCCTGCGGTACATTTATACCATGGAATACTATGCAGCAGTAAAAAATAAGGCTCTCTTACCTTTTGGGACAGCATGGAGGAATCTGGAGGTTATTATGCTAAGCGAAATTAGGCAGTCAGAGAGTGACAAATATAACATGATCTCACTCATGTGCAATCTACTGAACAAAATAAGTCTTGGAGACATGGCTACATGAAACACAGACTGATGGATGGCAGATGGGAGGGTGTTAGGTGGGATGAGATTAATCAATGAGCATATATGAATAGTCCATAGACACGGAAAATAATGTATTGAAGGCCTGGAGTTGGGCAGGAGATGGGTTGAGGGTGGCAAAGGGGGAAATCTGTAATATCAAATATAAAGATGAGTTTAATAAATAAATATATGAAGAACAGAATTGAACTTCTGTGTGCTCATAGGCATGTGAGGCTGCTTTGTCGAGGACAGTAATCTGAAAATTGCCATGGCAAAGCAAATTCTTGGTCTGAGAGCCGTTTTTGAAGGCAGCTGAACTAAAACTTATTCTGTTAAGCTTTCCAAGCTTCATTAGGCAGAGGGGCCAATGAGTGCTGAAACTGCCATGTTAGAATGAAGTATAAAATCAGATTCAGGAGACATCACAGGGGCCACTCCAAGAAAGGAGCTGATGGGTGCCTTATGTGTTTATATTACACATGGTGATTCTGGGGCGGGTAGTCCCTGATTCCCCATCTGTTGTTAGGTCATCTGTATTGTTGGAAGTGCCAGACTCAAGTCTGAGAAGTTCCCCAGGTGTGCATGTGTGAAGGTTTTGGCAAAAGGAAAAGGAATTACTGGTTGAGGGTATACAGCCTGGAAGTAACAATGCCAGTATGAGGGAGGACTGATCCATGCTACGCATCCTGCTCCCAGCTCGGCTGAACTCTGAACTTTGGGACGTGGGCTTGGTTGAGATGGGAGTCAGTGCTGGTGAAGGGAGAGCATGTGACGGCAGGATTTGGATTTGCCCCTGGGTGGGGCCCTTGTGGGTCAGACGTGCTCATGTCCAGCTTTTGGAGGGGTCTCTAACGGTGCCGGCACTGTGGTGAGTTATAAAAAGAGTATGTCTGGTCAAGGAGGGCAGGGTGTATTGTGGGCCTGGACGAATGAGGGGCCAAAGGAGGCGTGAAATCTCTGTGTCCTTAGCCACTCTGTCCTTGGGGAAACACAAAGGTGACAGATGAGAAAAGGGCTCTAAAATTAAATGTGTGGACGTGGGGAACATGGTGGAATTTTAGGCTCTAGTGCATTTGCAAGAACCATTTTGCAATTATTCACCTGCAGTGAGAATATTTAATCATGGTGGTACACAACCTCATATCCCAGGAGCACCCAAATGACCATGTCTGCACAAGTAAACAATCCACATTCCACGGTGCATGTGAGAGCAGGAGACAGAAACCTTTCACTCTGTCACTGTATAAAGAGGCAGTGTTTCAATAGGGTGTTTTGTTCATAATCACCATCAGACCTGTGTTTTAGGCATGCAGTACATCTTCTAGAGGTATGAAAGCATAACCTTTATTACTGATAATTAAGAATGCAGTTTCATTAATAGTTGGT